ACTGATTTGTTAAATCAAATGAAAAATTGTGTGTTTGATTGGTCCAGACGCTACAGAATAGATTTTAAAGTGTAATTTATTCCTGTGATCATACATAGGTACATTTTCTGCATCATTACTCCAGTCTTCAGTGTCACATGATCCTTCAGAAATCATTCTAATATGCTGATTTGCTGATTATCAATATTTAAAACAGTTGAGTACATTTTTTTTTCAGGATTCTTTGATGAATAGAAAGATCCAAAGAATCTGAAATAACTGAAATAAAAAGCTTTTGTAACATTATACACTATTCCATTCAGTATAATTTTTATAATTAAGAAATTATATTTCACATAATGTTACAAAAGATTTCTATTTCAGATAAATAGTGTTCATATCGATATCGGAATTATATCGTATCGACCGAAATTAAGAAATATATTGTGATATCAATTTTGGCCATATCGTCCAGCCCTAGGTTTTTCCTTTCTCAAAATGCGGCAGAGGTGGTACCATCCTGATCATGTGCACACAATGTACCCACCCTTCAAGTTGCTGAAACAAACACTTTTTACACGCAACATATTTTAGGTGTTATAATAATTATAGCTATGATTAAAGAAAATGACAATTATAAAGTTATGTTTTTATTTTCTCTCGCCTAATGTTTTATTGTTATTTATTCTTAAAATAGCCTCATCAAATGTTTTCTTTTTCCTCAGAAATTCTGTGTTGTGTATCTGGTTATCAACTGAAGGCATAAAATATCATTTATCTTTAAATTATTGAAAATTAAACTTTTTGGCAAACAAAGGGGATTTACTATTAAAATTAAAACATAGAAGAACTTTTGTGTGATCATTCCTTAAAAAAAATAAAGTTTTCATAATTTTAGTAGTAGTAGTATGTACATTCTGCTGAACAATAGTAATATATTTCTGCTGCAATGTCTTCAAATTAAACCGGACTTTTATTTTGACGGGTTGCCGCGAATACCTTTAGAGTTGTGTGTATATGATATGACGATAGTTTTACTCAAAACAAACGGTCAAATGCTCATGAAGTGACTCTCGGAGCAGTTCTAGAGATGTTGTTCAAGT